GGAGGGATTCCCTGGAAAGAACTAAAAACATTCCTAGGTTCACGTGCTTGCACCCCCTTCCACGCTCTTCTCATCCCCATTCCAATTTTTTTCTGCCATTCATTTACTAAAACAAAACAAAAACATTCCAATTCAGAGTCCTATATTGTGGATAAAAAAATGCAGTTGCCTACCTCAAGTGGTGCAGAACCTGTAGAAAGAGGGCAATCCTAAGGGTCAGCCTATTTCTTCTGTGTGCTTCCAGGTCTCATTTTAGAAATTGATTTCAGCCCAGGTCTATCTGTAATGCAAATGCGTATGAAGTGGCTTTAACAGTTAGAGGAAGTCTGGATGTACACATTCCTCTAGACAGCCTGCACTGAAGAAAATCTCTTGGAGAATAATGGCTATTATTATGGAATCATTTTTAGTATTATTAAATGCTACTTGGTGTGTTTAGAGTGCAACGCATAAGAATAAAACAAAATATACAATAGCAAAACATGCTACAGCACAACAAAATCAGAACCCAGTTCCCAGACTCCCAGCTGGAGTGATGCTCAGAATTTTGCGTACCATCTCAGTCATTGGCGGGACTCTGCTGCCCTCAGGTGGCTGAAGTTATTCTTGGACAAAGCCACTGGTGCTCTTGTGTTAGGAAGTGCTATGATGATTTTTAGAATGGTGGAATGGCTGGATAGGTAGAGAGAAGGGTAGATTCATTCACTTAGAAAATATTGAATTTCAACTATTTTCCCAGGCACTGTGCCAAAAGCTGTTAGGAAGTGACATTTGAGATCTGAGATCTGAAAACTGCACTGGCATTAAGTAAAGCAAGGACTATGGTCAGAGCTGCCCTGTGCATTGGTTCCAGGAGAACAGTGACAAGGATTGAGGAAATGATCTGTGGTGATGGGGACAGAACCTCACAAATATGCTTCATTCTTCAGGGAGAAATAGGCTAGCTAACCTTAGCCTATTAATTCAAATCCATTGGGTTAACAAGAGAAAGAATACAGAACAGGTAAATGTGGGCTTTAGATACACACAAGGGGTATAGGGAAAGTTCTAGGTGGGGACAGAGAGGGAGAGTAATAAGAGCTCTTTGCCTCACTGAAAAACATGGTTAAACAGGTAAGAGGACAAGATACCATATTTAACATGGTTGGTCCTCAAAGATGATGACACCCAGTATTAATAAGTCTTTATAATTATGTAACTTTTTATTTTAGAGAGAGAGAGAGGGAAAGCATGCACGAGCAGGTGGGGCTGAGAGGGGCAGAGGGAGAGGATCTTAAGCAGGCTCCACATCCAGCAAGGAGCCTGATACAAGGCTTGATCTCATGACCCTGAGATCATGGCTTGAACCAAAATGGAATTGCGTGCTCAACCCACTGAGCCATGCAGGCGCCCCTTAAGTCATTATATTATTGATGAGTATGGAAATTGATGCATTCCATTTGACAGCAATCTACAATTAGAAATTTATTGTCCAAGATTACTTGTAATGGTATATAGAGAAAAGAGTAGATGAGACCAGTGCCATTCCTTCATCTGGGCTTAAATAATGGTATCAGAGACACTTAAGAGCTGAGTTTCTTGAAATTGAAATTAGTGCTGGGAGTTGTCTCTGCAGTTGAGTGACTTAGCTCCTTTTAGGATTCTGTAAAAGCCTACATAAAAAATCCCAACCTTTTAATTTCCTTTGAACTCAAACATGCATTTATTGAACAACTTGTGAATGCAAGACTTTGGCTGGGCTGGGGAGGGTGCCCAGAGATAACTTAGGTCTGCTTTTCTGACCTCAAAGATTTTGGTCTAGAGAGGACTGACTTGTAAAAATAAAACACAGTAATTAAATGGGGGGAAAAGGCTATACTATAGCTTTGTGGAAATATGGGATAGGGAAAATAAAATATATTCTAATTGGAGGGATGAGGAAGGGGTAGGTTTCTAGCAGATGTGGCATTTGGGCCTTGAAACACAAGTGGATTTTAATAGGTCTGGGAGGTTCAGCGGAAGGACGGGTTGGTGTCTCTTCCTTTAGGTTGAAGAGCATGAACTGTTATGTTAGGCTTTAGTGAGCACCAACAAGGTGCTGTGTGAAATGGAGAAGCATAAGAACCACCATTAAGGGATGATACAATATATCCCTGAGGAAAAAATCATATAATATTAAATGATACTGTGTGATCAAGTATCAGAACAGTTACAGAGTCCAGAAGTGAAGCACAGATAAGGGCCAAATACAATTTTTTGGATAGAAATTACTCGCTTTAAAAATATTTCAGTGAAGGGCTCCTGGTGGCTTAGTTGGTTAAATATCTGACTCTTGGACTTCAGCTCAGGTCATGATCTCAGAGTTGTGAGATTGAGCCTAGCATTGAGCTCCACACTGGGCATGGAACCTGCTCAAGATTCTCTCTCTCTCTCTTTCCATCTCTCCCTCCTTCACCCTCTCTAAAAAAAATTATTTTTCAATGAAATCAGCAGGAGAAAGCATGAGGCATAAGATGCATATTACTTTTACCATTACTTCTCCAAGCTTCTAGATTTTGTAAAGTTTTTATTTTTCATTACATGAAAAATGCATAATACATAATACAATTTTGTTTGAAAAAATTCAAGGGATAAGAAAAAAATTAAGAGTAAAAAAGAAAAATTCTTCCTTCAAAATCTGCCCTTTTCCACCCAATCTCATTTCTTTCCTTAAGGTGACCACTGATACCTCAGTGATGGAATGAAAGGTAGTGGGACAAGGAAGCCCAGGGAGGGTAAGACCTCAGGTAATACCTCAAATATAACCCACTATGGTGAAGACCTCCACACAAACTGAATATACCTCATGAACACAATTTTAATACTTGCCCAGTATTCTTTTTCTTTTTTAATTTTTTTTTAATTTTACTTTTTTATTTGAGAGAGAGCACAAGCAGGGGGAGGAGCAGAGGGAGAAGCAAACTCCCTGCTGAGCAGGAAGCCTGATCTGGGGCTTGATCCCAGGACTCCAGGATAATGACCTGAGCTGAAGGCAGATGCTTAACCAAGCCACCCAGGTGCCTCTAGTTGCCCAATATTCTGACAATATTTTGGAACATTTATTTAGAAAAAACTTTATACCATTCTCTTATTTTTTTTTTTTTAATTGTAGACGATGATCCATTATGGCTATTTTCGGACATATACGCCACTACATTTATGTTATATCATTTACATCATAGTATAGTTAAGGCTTTTGGCATATATTCCAAATTGCTTTTCAAATAGTTGTAAGTATTTATTCTAGACGGCTGCTAGTGCACCGGGAGGGCACACCCAAGACTCCTGCATCAACCTTGAAAAAACTGTCTGTACTAGCTGACACCATATCCTCAGCTCTTAATCATTCCTTGATTCATGTGGTCTGGCCTCTGCCCAAACCAGTCCACTGAAACTGCTTCTGTCAAGGATCCTGTTGCTAATGGAAGTTCTCTTGTTTGACTTCTCAGAGGCATGGGACAGCCTTAGACTCCTCTCCCACAAAGCTTCCATTCTCTCCTGCTTTTCCTCTCCCCACTTTACATGTCCTTTGCATCCTCCTCCTTCTGGCCTGCCATGTTTTCCAGGCATCTGACTAGGCCCAAGGGCCTTCACCTCTTAAAGCTCTGCCCGGGCAATCCCACACATCCCCCCTTCTAGATGCTGATGCCTCCTACATCTTCCTCTTCATCTCAGCTGTCTCTAGAGCCCCACATCTATGGGCTCACTGGATAGGATCCCTCAGTAGGAGGCCCCAAGCCCGTCTCAACAGAACTATGTTAAAAATAAACTTCTCGGGCAGCCCGGGTGGCTCAGCGGTTTAGCACCTGCCTTCAGCCCAGGGCCTGATCCTGGAGACCCGGGACCGAGTCCCACATCAGGCTCCCTCTCTCTCTGTGTCTCTCATGAATAAATAAATCAAATCTAAAAAAAAAACAAAAACAAAAACAAAAAAACCTAAACTCTTCCTCCATCACCCACAACTCCTGTATTCCCCGTCTCACACCACATGCAAGGCGCTCAAGCCAGAAAAATGAGCATGATCTCCTTCTCCCTCAGGGCTCACATTCAGACAATTTCCCAGTCTCTCAATCTCTTTTCCGCTGGCCCCATGTGCCCAGTCTCCGTCGTCAATTCCTGCCTGGAATCCTGGAACAATCTTCTCCCCTGGCTCCCCGCCTCTTCCTCCGGCTTCCTTCCCTCCGACCCATCCTCGACCCAGCAAGGAGACCCTTTTGAAATGCAAATCTCATCACACCTTTCCCCCAGCTTTAGACCTTGCAGGATCTCCTCCTTGCCGCAGCATAGAACCTATATGCCCTTTTGCCTCCTGAAGCAGAGATACGGGTGCGCATCAACTTTCGGATATTCTCCTCTCGTGAAATTTATTCTCGGTGGTGTCGTTCTGTGCATTTTAACACCTGCGAAGAGTCTGAGGCCACAACTCTCTGCCGCTCCAAACCACACCCTCATCCTATCCTTTTATAGCCACGTTCTCCCCCATCCCTAAGCCCAGACAACCGCAGGCCTATTCACCATAGTCTCCAAACTTTGTCTTTTAAAAAAGGAGGGGTGAGGAGGGAGTGGTGAGAACTTTGGAAAAAGCAAAACAAACCCAAGCCCCTGAACGCGGCTTTAATGCCTACGCAGCTCTCCTCCCTCCCCTCCAACACCTGCACCACCACCACCACCACCACCACCACCACCACCACCACCACCACCACCTCCCCCCTCCTTTGGCTGCAATTAGGCCGGACTATTTCCGGTTGTTGCGGGGAGCGTCCAGCTCTCCCCCGTGCGGGGACCCTGCTCCCCGCCGTCTTTGGGGCGGGGGTGCCTCCTCGGTGCTCCCCAGCGCATCCCAGACCCCGCAGCTGCAGGACTCGCCCCCGCAGCTGGACGTTCGCAGCCGCGCGCGCCGCCGAGGCCGTGGCCCCGCCCCCTGCGCGCCGCTCGCGCTCCCCTCCCCCACCCTGGCTGCGCCTGCGCGCTGGGGGCAACGGTTGCAGGGCGCCGACGGCCCCGAGGCGGCGACGGTCGCCGCAGACGCCCCCTCGTTTCGGCGCTGAGGTACCCGGCCCGGCGGCCCAGGACGTTCCCGTCGCATGGCGGAGTGCTGCGGACGATGCCCATGAAGTCCTTGGTCCTCGTAGCTGCGCTGTTGCTCTGGCCTTCGTCCGTGCCGGCCTATCCGAGTGAGTGAGCGCCCGGCGGCGGCGGCGGCGGCGGCGGCGGCGGCACAGGGGACGCCTCTGAGGGAAGCCCCGCCGCCCCCCCGCCCCCCCGGGGCCCTACAAGGGGCGGGGCCCGGGCCTGACCCGCGGGGTACCTGGAGCCTGTGACCCCCCGTGACCCCTGCGGTTGACCTCTCGCCCCTTTGGCCAGAGTCTCTGCACGTGGGACAAAAGGGGGGCGCGGGGGGTTCTGCACGCTGCGAGCCGGTGGGCCACTGCGGCCTGTTCTGTAGGGCTGGCTGACCCAGAGTGGTGGTTTTTTTTGTTTTTTGTTTTGTTTTGTTTTACATTTTTAAAGGTGCACACAAAAATGTAATGCCTCCAGACACGTGGGAAACTATGACATTTCCAGTTGGCAGATAAAGTTTTATTGGGACACAGCCACGCTCGTTCCCTTCAGGACTTGCCCACGGCTGCTTTCCCGCGTGAACAGCCGCAGAATTAGGTCGCTGGCCCAGAGACAGACAGGGTGGCCTGCAAAGCCTCAAGAACTTGACCCTGTCTGACCTTTTACAGAGAAAAAAAAAAAACAAAAAAAAACGGTCTGTCCTTACCCGCTGTGGTAAAACGTGGAGGGCGTGTGGATCGTGGTGCCTGTCGAGGGCACCCGCCGACTCCGTTACCCCATTAGGCGCTCCTGCGGCTCCTCCCCCAGTGCACGCGGCGTTCACAGCCTCCTTCATTTAAGCGGAAGTGAAACTTTAATAAGAGGACTTGTTCCTGAAAACCAGTAAAGGTCAGAAATCAAAGCCGGCCGCGGCTACTCTGTTAACGTGCGGACGTGAGGCGGTGTTTTACGTGGAGTGTCCGGAACCTGTTGTTTCACGTAGGACTGACCCTGAGCCCAGAGGCTCGTCCGTCTAGTCCATGGTGACAATTTAGTAACGTTGGGGTTGGTTTAACCGGAAAAAAGGTTTGACAGGTAGGTGTGAAAAAAGTACCAAGGAGCATGCCGGTTAGGAAGCGCTGCGTTTCAGAGTTGTGAAAAGGTCTTGGTTAAAGCTTAGATTTAAAAAATGAAAATATGGGGGACCCGGGATCGAGTCCCACGTCGGGCTCCTTGCATGGAGCCTGCTTCTCCCTCTGCCTGTGCCTGTGCCTCTGCCTCTCTCTCTCTCTCTCTCTCATGAATAAATAAAATCTTTTATAAAAAATGAAAATACAACACAACCTGCATCATTCCTGGTAATTAGAAAAATTCTGGATAAAGTGTCCTAGAGAACCAAAGTTAGCCCTTTAAACGCCAGCACTTAACGACTGTTAGATTGTTTTAGAGATGGCTTTGTAAAATGTTTCTTCTTTACCGTAAAGAAACAGACACCCCGAAGATGACACCTTTCTTGATGTCTGATGGTGGTTATTACTAACCTCAGTTATTGCATTTTTGGTAGCTGTAGATCAGTGAGTCACAACTGGCTGACATGTATGGAGACTTTAGTTGAAGTGACATTGATACGGTCACAAAGGGCACCTGGGTGGCTTGGCCGTTGAGCTCCTGCCTTTGGCTCAGGTGGTGATCCTGGGGTCCTGGGACCCAGTCCCGCATGGTCCCGCATCGGGCTCCCTGCATGGAGCCTGCTTTTCTGTCTGCCTGTTCTCTCTGCCTTTCTCTCTGCATCTCTCATGAATAAATAAATCTTTTTTTAAAAAATTACTGTCACATAGTAGTACACTCTGGGATTGCTGGATCCTCACTTAAGTCCGTGCAGTCTCCTGCCTAAGTGCATCATTTCATGGCCAGTTCTTTTCTTTGTGCCCTCTTCCTTAAGCTTTCTTAAGGCTTGCAGGAAATGAAAAGATACTTCTCAGAAAAAAGGGCAGTTTTGTGTTAAATATGTAAATGGCCCAAGTGAGAAGGAAAATATATACAGATCATAGAAGACATCTTGAAAATGTAATTTACTTCTTTTCCACAGAAGTGGATTAAGAGATATGTAGGGCAATGTTAGTATGGCTACTTTCTCTAATTCTTTTTCTCTAAGTAATTTTATTTATTTATTGGAATAAGTACACCAAGAGAAACCAGGCTTATCCTTGTGTTTGATTTAAATGAGATTTTTCTTGGGACGCCTGGGTGGCTCAGCAGTTGAGCGTCTGCCTTTAGCCCAGGGTGTGATCCCGGAGACCTAAGGTCGAGTCCCACGTAGGGCTCCCTGCATGGAGCCTGCTTCTGCCTCTGCCTATGTCTCTGACTGTCTCTCTTTGTGTCTCTCATGAATAAATAAATAGAATCCTTTTTAAAAAAAGATTTTCCCTATGTTACATGGCCACTATTGCAACATTTGTTGGCAAAAGAATCATATAAAAAATGCTCCACATAGCTTTTTATAATGAAAACTGCAGCTTTGACTTTTTTTTCTAGCATGCTAAGCTTTAAGGTTATCTTATACAGAGATCATGGGTATTAAGTAATTATATTTGTTGAAAACCTCAGTACTTCTTTTAACTGTCCATACCTTTATAATAAGCTCAACCCAAGTTTAGCTAGTACTGGCTTAATCTAAATTCAGTTTGATATGAATAAGGCTTGGGTATACAGCAGTCTACATTCCTGTACATGCATACCCAGCCTGATGGTGCTGGATAAACACTTTTTTACTATATACTTAAATTTATATACATTCAGTTAATTTTCTTATATCTGATTTTTCCATAGTTTTGGTTTTAAATATTTTCCAAATTTAAAAATGATAGCTCTTTAATGTATATGCAGTGTATGACTTGCTTTACTTCTTTTTTTTTTTTAAAGATTTTATTTATTTATTTGAGAGAGAGAGCAAATACAAGTGGGGATAGGGGCAGAGGAAGAGGGAGAAGCAGACTCCCCACTGAGCAGGGAGCCCAATTCAGGCTGGATCCCAGGACCCTGAGATCATGACCCGAGCTGAAGGCAGATGCCACCCAGGTGCCTCTGCTTTACTTCTTAATGAGAATTCTTGTTGTTTTAAAAATAAATAAATAAATAACTCCTAAAGTATCATTTACATAATAGTTATATATTTGGATACTATTATGTAATTTGCCTTTTATAATTTTAATTCACCAAATATTCATGAGCCTGAAGCTACAAACACAAGAATGTGAAATACTAGCTTTTGGGCTCTTTTTGTTTGTTTGTTTGTTTTTGTTTTTGTTTTTTTTTGGGGGGGGGGCTCTTTTTTAAGATTTCATGAATAAATTGTTTTTTTCCTGATTATCTCTTTGAATCAGTCAGCAAAAGTAGAGTTAATGATACAGGATTGTTTTAAGCTCATATAAGAAAACCTCTTAACTTGCTTCTCCAGATTAGTGTTTAAAGAAGACTCAATTATGTGTGTTTATTGGCATATATTTGTCCTTAGGAAGGCCTTTGTCCTAATAGACCACAAAAGGCAAGGGAGTAGCAACACATCAAACAGCAATAATTGTTGAAATGTGTTGGTAAATACATTCAAAAGAAAAGCAGATACTTTTTGTCTCCAGTTCAAAAATAAAATTCACTACTAAGGTTGCAATTTCCCTTTACACTGTTTCAAGGCCCAAGGCTATAGCACTGGGAGGGTCTCTCAGATCTGTAGATGGAAGGCCATAACACACTTCATTAATGTTTTAGATAATGAGGAGCATGTTACCTAATAGGTGAATGTCCAGGGGGTTGCTTTTGGGGGGCATAGTAGTAGTTGCACTAGTCTGTCCTTCAAATGTTTTATTGGAAAAAAGTACTGTCTTTCTGTTCCTTTGATAGGCTTTCATGTGTTTTTTTTTAAAGACTTCTTTTTTTCTGATATTCGCTGGTTATCCCAACACCACTTTGTATCTTCCCTATTCTGAATGGGTTTGACCATCCTTCCAAGGAGACAGTAGTTAGAACGTAGTATTAGAGACCAAAATATCTGGGATACATACCAGATATTGTTATTTAGGTCATTTTATTGAACAGAACTAAAAGAGATCTATTTCAAAGTCATGAGTTTGATTCTAATTAAATTTTAACATTACTCCTGGAATAATTTTTTTAACTTTTTACTGGAACAAAATTTATATCCCTTTTTGTAAAGAAAATTTGGAGTGTGTGGCTGGCTCGGTTGGTGGAGCATGTGACTTGATCTGGGGGTTGTGAATTCAAGCCCCATATTGGGAGTATAGAGATTACTTAAAAATAAAATCTCAGGGACGCCTGGGTGGCTCAGCGGTGGAGTGTCTGCCTTTGGCCCAGGGCATGATCCTGGAGTCCCAGGATTGAGTCCCACATTGGGCTCCCTGCTTCTCTCTACCTGTGTCTCTGCCTCTCTGTGTGTGTGTGTGTGTGTGAGTGTGTGTGTGTCTCATAAATAAATAAATAAAAATCTTTAAAATAAAATCAAATAAAATCTTAAAATAAATAAATAAAAATACAGTTTAATGAAGCTGTTTTGGTTATGTGTTGCAGGGTACAGATCACCTCCCAGATTTATTATTTCACATGATTCTATGGGATGATTGACTCAGTAAGGCAGTTCTGCCTCAAATGGTGGATTTGAGGTCACTTATTCAGTTGTATTCAGCTGGAAGCTCAACTAGGATGAGAATATCCAAAATGGCCTCTTATCTTCCAAGGTCTTTCTCTACATGACTTATCTTTTAGTAGTCTCACCCAAATGTCATTCTACCGTGGCAGCTTGCTTCTAAGAGGGAGCTGTATAAACCGCCAGTATGCAAGCTCTTATCAGGCCTATGCTGTGTCAGACTTGGTGATGTCTCCATAGGCCAAGACAGTCACATTGGGCAGGACCATATACACTATGGGAATACACTAACCAAGAACATAAATACCAAGAAGTGCAAAGCCATAAAGTTAAATTCCTTCCTCCCACCAAGCTTTATTGAGGTATGATTGACAAAATTCAACTATATTGAAAGTATACAATGTGATAATTTGATATATGTCTACATTGTGAAAGGATTCCCACCACTGAGTTAATTAGTATGTCACCTTACTTAAT